TCTCAGTCGCCTCTTCCGACGAGAGGCTGTTCGAGGCCCAGTTCGTGTAGACACCGAGGCCTATCGCTTGTCGGCCCGGATCACGTGGCCGGACGGATGGGTGCGCTTAAGTGTGCACTCCCCACCCACGCCCACCCTCACCCTACGGGGCCTGAGGGTCGGCCAGGCGTCAAAGCGTCAACGCGTCAAGTCGACTTACCTCGAGGCGGGAGGAGAGAAGGGCCAGACACGTCGAGCCAACGCGGAGAGGCGGAGCGACAAACGCGCACTACAGCAGCGCGTCCGACGCGTACGATGAGTCAGCACGAAGCGGCGGTGGCGGCGGTGGCGGCGGCGGCGGTGCACGGGTCGAGGCGGAGCGGAGAAGGCAGCCTCGATAGCTGGGCCTCGAAAGTAGCGCCTGACCCGCGTCCAAGCCTCGAGGCTTTATTTATAGAGTGCCAGCGCCGTCTAACTGAGCCCAGGCCGCCAGGGCCGGCGGTGACGGGCGGAGAAAGCGTCGACGCGTCACAGTTCACTCGCGCGCGCAGGCCTCTGCGTGTGTGTCGACAGGCGTTTGAGCACCGGAGCGTGCCCGCGCGCACGTTTGTTCACGCCTGCGTTACAGACAGTCGGCCGCATCAGCCGAGAGGCGACAGACAGACAGACAGACAGACAGGCCGGCCGGCCGGCAGGTGAGCCTGACACGCTCTGGGCGTGCCAGGCGGGACTGTGCGTGCAGACGACGCGACGACAACAGACACGCCGGTCGGCAGCTGCGATTGGTCCGATCGCTGCTCTGGCTAGGCACCAGTTAGCCTAGCCTCAGCGAATGCACACACACACCACATTCGGCACAGACCAGAACGCACAGACATGGAGGCGGCAGCGGCAGCGGCGGCGGCGGCGGCTGCGGCGGCGGCGTGCGTAGAGGCGGTCAAGCCGAGGCTCCGCGTAAAGCCGTGGCGCCTCAAACTGTGCAGGCCGTAGGCCGTCTAGACAAGTCAGGCCAAGCGATCGATAGTGTAAAGGCGAGCGTCGGGCAAGGTGAACAGCTGGCCGGCACGACGTGCAAGGATAGCCTCATGAAGGCAGGATGAGTCCGCTACTCTACTGCTTATCTCTGTTGGCCAATTGGAATGCGACAGACCGAAGTCGACCAATATGCGGTCGCGTGCGCCCCAATTGGCTGGTTCAATTTGCCATTGCGTCACAGCTTTAGTAAACAAACTGGACCGAGCATGCGGCGAATTGGGCAAGCGACTGGAGGCAATCAATCCGCCAAGTGATTGCAAACACTCCGTTACCCACTGGCCGGTCAACTCGGCTCGCTGCTCTCCGCCAGGACGTGATGTCCTCACATGCCAACTTCATTGATGTGTTGTCGCCAGCCTAGCCACTCTTCTCGCCTGCCTCGTGTGAAGTGGAGTTGGGTAGAAGGGACTCGCGTGTCTCGATCTCGCCAAAAGATAAAACTGCCTGTTGCCCTTAAATCGAGCCGGTCTGGCCGGTCGTCTCCACTTGGTTAGTCTTTAAGCGAAGAAAAGTTGGATCTTGAGCAGACTCATGCTTCATAATTGTTGAGTCTATCTCCATTTCGAGAGGAAGTGTTGGGTGAAGAGGCTCGAAGGTCGATTCGACCAGAAGACGACGGTGAATTCCTCTTGACCAGATGTCGATCGGCTGTTTCGCAGGTAATCTCCTTCGATTCCGGTGACGATGACGAACGTCATCGAAGCAGGGTATCATCCTTGCAGCCAAATTCAAGCTATCGATAAATCCATAAAAAGTTGTATATGTACTCCATATTTGGCCCGTTTGATGAGGTATAAGGTGATTTGTTTAGTTCCAGTCATAGATCGATCTCGAAGCGTATGAGTCTGTCTCTGTATGTGTTCGCCTATGCACGGAGCGGGCAATGATGGCTCAAATTAACCCGGACAACAAGAGTCACGTCTGTCCTCGGCCATCAAGGTTTGACGATGGTGGAAGAGACCTTCGAATCTCTTCACCGAACTCTTTGCCCCCAAATAGGAGTAAGCTCAACAAGTATGAAACAAGACACTCCTCGAAACCCAACCTTTCTTCGCATATAGTTGGTTTCACAACCAGACTTACATTCGTGAGATGTGAAAAAACTCATTGGCTCATTCCTGAATAAGCTGATTTCCATCTTTTTCGTTTGAAGTTAGGAAGGACTGTTAGATGACTTTCACCACAAGCATTGTTTAGCTCTCTTGTTTCCATAGCATTTCACATAGCCCAACTGCCCAAAGGCTATTCGCCTCCAGGTTGGCCTGCGTTTCCTACCTCGCCCCGGTCTCATTAGCCATGCAATCGTGGTTATGTGAA